GGAAGACATTTCTTTCCTCTCAAAGAATATTAACAAGCGCATTGAAAAGAATGTCAATGATCAGCAAATTTTCTTACTAATGTTAGTTTAGTTACCTACGCAGAAGTCTCTTGCAGTGATAAGGAAAGTAGCAAAGATGAACGAAAGAGGAGTAGAAAACAGTCAACTAACTGACTACATAAAATACAGAAAACTCTGAGTTCATACCAAGTTCACAGAGCTTAAACAAAGTTGAAGCAACCACATTACCTATATTGAGAGTCTGGCCTTCAGATCACTGCTGAATATATGCACAGCACACTAAACAATGAAATGTACAAATTCATCATTTGTTTATGACTTTCATGGTAGAGTACAAACAGATCTAAACCTTCAGTGATGTGTGCATGTTCAAAACTTGGATAAATAACTGTAATGGACCATTGTAATTTCCTGCGGACACATCTACATAGAATCTTGCCACTTAGAAGTTTTTCATTTCTCAGGTGAATAAACAGATATTTGTGGCAACAAATAAGAGACATCGATGCCTAAGGCAAAGAAATAATGCAACATCCAAAAGTCATTTAGAGAAGCCCCACTCCCTTCAGATCCAAGACAAAGACCTTGCCAGTAAAACCTAAAGAAACCAGCTACACAAAACCTCAAGTGATGAACGTTGTGACCCTGAGCATACAAGGGCATCAAGCACAAGGATTCTCAGTATTATTTCACTAGGTGAATACAACCTTTTGTTTCTTGTTTGTTTTTAAACATTAACTAGTTAATTAACTAGTTAGTTTAACATCCTTTGAGTTTGTGGCTGAAGAACTGTAGTTTGGAAAACGAAATATACCCTTACTGAGTTTCTTTAAGAGGAACATGAGCTGTCATTTGAAAATGACCAGCTTTAATAGATAATGACTCACAGATCCCCTTACTACAAATGGTAATCTACTTAAAACACCATATATGATGGAGATATTGGCCTGCTTCAGAAGAGGATCTGCTACTGAATAATTTGCCTCTCTGCAATATTATTTATTTATAATAATAGCTATGTGCCTCGCAGAAGCTCTTTTATTCCTCAGATGCACTAGAGAACCTTTGGGTGGCTTTTAACCAAAGTAATCACCAATATTTTATTATTCCTCTAAACAAACTCATCATCCACTGATTTATTTAGCATTTACTACATAGGCCATTGCATTTATCATTTGCTCTCCATTCTTTATATATAAATATTTATACAATACAAATCACCACAGCTCCTTTAAGTAGGATTGATCATTACCTGGTGTCACTTCCCTTTCCCCATCTTTTAAATGTCCTTTTAAGTCAGTCCTTAACACCATTCTTTTCTAATGGACTAAGCCTATGCACTCTAGAAGTCTGGAAAACAAGCCAGTGCCTGGAAGTCCCTGAGGGTGGTGTGTTTTACCACAAATGCACTCACAGCTTTTGGACTACTTTGAACTAGCCTCTACGAGGAAGCTGCATGAAGTTCCCTCATTTGGGTTTTCTCTGTTTTTGCCAGAGACAGGAAAAAATAAAAATAAAAAATAAGCAATGGTGTTATCTGGCACAAATCAAGAGTGGCCACCCCAACAGTAGGCAATCACCAGAGACCATTTGGGTGCTTCATTTCACCTCAGTACAAACAACAGAAAGGATGCAAACAGTACAGAACACTGTACGTGTTTCACGTAAAACTCACAGTTCCTCTGAGACTCTGATGTTTTGCTAATCCATACAACACACATCAATGCAACATGACTGCAGGAGATAAAGAAAAGTATGCATGAAGTTAATCCTTATAATCAGGAAGGATATAAAGAGTATTCTCTTAGTTACTCTTAAACTTCTGCAGTGCTTAATGCCCCCTGTCTGGCAGACATACCACCTTTGAAATTACTGAGACAGATCTGACATGTTTGTATAAAGAAATGATGTTCTAACAAGGCAACTATCAGCATAAATAGCTGTTAAATAAAAATAATTAAAAAAAAAAAGAAACATATTATCTTCAATAGTGGATTATTTGGCTGTTTAAAATTGCTGTATTCAATTTTTCTGTGTCACCTTACTTCTATTTTCTAAGGTAAAGTAGCAATAAAAGGAAGTGTTGCCATGTAGAAAAACTTCTCATTTTAAGGCCTGTAAAAAAATATTTAATTTTGTGGCAAACGTTTTTTGCAAAGCCATCATATGTGAAAGGGAAGCAAGTTGCTTTGCACTACTGCTTGGCTAAATTGCATCTGGTAGCAGTGCCACACCTACCTGGGGCTAATGCCTGTAACTCACTTGAAGTCACAACATCTGTACCTTCCTACACTGCCTTTCCACAATAAGCATTTATTTCTGATGGGATACTTACATGACATTTAAAACCTTCACACTACGCACTGGCGTTAGGAGAAATAAAAAACATTGAAACACTAATCTGAATAGAAAGCAACACTGGGAACATTAAACAAAATTTAAAAAGCATAAATTCTATGCAGATTAAATTCTTTAATTTTGTTATATATGGAGTGGTAATTCGTGTCGAGAAAATGGTTGATATTAAAATAGAAGGGGGAGATGTGGGAGTGTGGCCATGGGGGTCAGAAAGCCCCATGGTTGATGATAACATCAGACTCTTCACGATGAGGCCATCAGGAATGTAAAAGAGCTTAGAGGGAACAAAGAAGGGTGATTCAGGAGATGCCATGCAGTCTTGGGTTGCTTCTTCTCCAGCCATTAAGGCATGGAAGTTTCTGGGTGTTTGCTGTTGCTGTTATATGCAAAGTTGTTTGACCAATGAAAAGTTGTTTTTGAAAAGGACTGCTGTGGGGAGAAGGGGAGAAGAGGGGAGCCTGCCCTCAAGATAAAGAAGGCAACACGATGAAGTTATGTCATCAATAAAGAAGCAGAAAGAAGGAATGAAAAGGAACAGGCCAGCAGAACGGAGACCAGGACAAGAACAGGCACATTGATCGCCCCATGAAGAGAGGTTCAGCCAAAGCCAGCAAACCGCTCAGAGCAGCTCACACAGAAAGTCGCTGGAAATGGGAGCACTGGAGCTCGGAAGAAGCTCAAGCTGAGAGAAGCGGCCCCGCACACAGCTGCCCCTCGCTGGTAAGCAGCTGCACATTGTGGGGAATCATACATGTACTGTCCTTAGGAACAAAGACTGTCCTGGTCACCTTGCAACTTATTCTCCTTATTGACAATCAGACAGTTTATGAGCCTGAAATATGGGACCAAACTGAGGTCAAGATGGGGGACTCTGCAACTAAAAACGACAAGGTTGCGGTGGGATTGCTCAGCACCTGGCGAGCAAACTCTGAGGCCTTAAAGAGCCCTGTGGGACCACAGTCAGAAACGTGTGGTTTGCCAGACAGTGAGGGAGCTGCGGGCTCCTTTACTGATCCTTCTGCTACGCCATGGGCCCCTCTGCTGCTACAGCCATCGAAGGCTTTTGCTGTTCCACCCCCTGGTGACCTGGACGTGCCTTTTGACCCAGGCCTATTGGCCTTGAAAAGGAGATGGATACGCTTTTCTTCGATCTGGGAAGAATGACGGGATACATAAGGCCTGAAGACCGAGTTGCTTGACAACTTAAAGCGAGACATATTGTTCAGAAGGAATGGGAAATGGAGACTTGTATGTAATCAAGGAAAGGAATGGAAAATGGAGACTGTTAAGGCATGGGACTTCAAGGATTCTTTGTTACCTTTTCTGCTCGTGATTATGTATAGGCGTACTCGATTTTAGTAAGTTATGGAACTTAGAGGATTGTTTGTTACCTTTCCTGATTGTGCGTATGTGTAGGCATACTCGGGTTTAGTATGTAAAGCAATGTGCTGTATATTTAGAATGTTTGATGTTTCTGTGTGCGTGTTGGTGGAGCGTAGACTCCCCGCACACCCAGGTCTGTTTCCTTGCCTTTTCTACCTTTTAGAAATATTTGTTTTATAAATATTACAAAATTCAGATTGAGTTGAGACCTCATTTATAACACTTTGGAGACTCCGGAATTGGACTCAGCGATCCTCGTGGGTCCCTTCCAGCTCAGGACATTCTGTGATTCTATGACCCCAGTGGAGAAGTGGTGAAAGGCGACAACCAGACCAAGATACGGTAGGTTTGCCAGGATGGATTTCAGTGCCGAAGTTTCCTCCTCAAGTCTCCTTCAGCCATGAGCTAGGGACGGCCCTCTGTGTGGTAACAGGCCCTGGTGCTGAGGTCACAGTGTATCCCTCCTACATCCCTCTGCCGTGCGTGCCAGCTGTGGCCCAGTTGCTTGTGGGGCCGGTAGGAGGAGGACCCAGAGAGAGCGTTGTGTCTATCTGGGGACATCCTGCTGCGATGGAGAGGCTGAGAGCCCTTAGCGGTGAGGGGCAGCGGGAGGGAGGTTGGGGGCTGAAGCAGGACCCTTCCCAGCAGGCTGCTCGGGGCTGCGTCTCCTGCGGAGATTTCTCTCCCAGCTGGCCAAGATCCTCGTCCCTACCAGCTCCAGCCCCCTGCGGCCAGCAGCACTGATGACACCTGCTCCGTTCTTTCCTTCCTTCCAGGTGTGGGCTGCTGGCCCAGACGTAGCCGTCGCCAGGGCAGAGGCAGGGTGCCAGGGCCAGTCCCTGAAGCGGCCCCGACCTCTGCCAGTGTTGTGACTTCTCTGCTAGAGCGCCTGCAAGACTGAGGAGGTGAGCTGGGGGCTCCCCACCATGATGCAGCGGGGGGAGCAGGGTGCCTCTTCCCTCCTGGTTTTGTCGTCCAGAAGCCCCGGCACAGGGCAGTGCCCAGCCTGGAGCTTCTCAAGGAGCAGTCATTTGCCCGGGCCCCATCCCAAGGTCCCATGGCTGCCCAAGCCCAGAGGCCAGGGGCTTTGTGTCCCTCTTGCAGCTTCCCAGCCCCAGCAGCACATCCCTAGGCTCTGCAGAGTGAGGGCGGGCAGCTGGCGGCGCGCTGGCAAGAGGAGCAAAGCAAGTACAACTGATCCCTATGGTGCTCTGTCCCCAGGGCGACAGAGCGCAGACTTACTGCGAGCTGGAGACCGTCTTGTGGGGAGATGACAGCTGCCTGCAGTGCGGTGTCGTCAACCGGCTGCTAGCAGAGGTGTCCTGGGACCTGACAGCTGACCAGGTGAGATGGTGCTCTTGGAAGGCAAGGGGAGCAGCCTGCCAGGCATTGGAGGGCAATGCGGAGCACACAGGCAGGTTTTGCTGGCCTTGGGGCCCCACAGAGGCTCTTGAGCCAACCTGAGCCTCTGTTTCAGGGCGTGACGGAAGACACGAAGGTGGCTGCCAGTGACGTCCTGGTGGCTCTGGCCCGCTCCCACTTCAGCTTCGTGCTAGCCGAGCTCCTGGCCCAGCTGAATGCCCCAGGGCAGATCTCCAAGGAGTTCGTGCTCATCACTGTGGGCAAACTCCTCAGCACCAACGGTACGGTCCAGCACCGCCATCCTCCCTCCCTCCCCTCCCCTCCCCTCCCGCTTTGGGCCAGGCTGGGAGAGCTGGGATAGAAAGGGATCCTTCCCCTCTCCACGCAAGCCGTGCTGAGCTGGGGGGCACCGTGGCTGCAGCGCCTCCTCCCTCGCTGCCAGTGCCGGCTGGGGGCTCTGACCGTGGCCACTCTCCGTTCTCTTCGCAGCCCTGCAGTGCATCCCCTTCATGCGCGTGGTGCTGTTGGGGCTGCGCACCGTGGTGGGCCAGTTAGGGAGCGGCCGGATCCTGCGTGCTGCCTGCGGTGGTGAGTGGACCCTGGGGAGGGGCAGGGGCAGGGGCAGGGGCAGGGGCAGGGCAGCCCCTGGCACCTCGCTCTGGTCTCAGAGCGGGCATGGCGGGCCTGAGCTCATGCTGCTGCCAGCCCTGGGCCATCCCAAAGCATTGGGGGCGCCTGGAAAGGGTGGCTGAAGGTTTCTGTGGGCTGGAGGTGAAGGTGCCCGGGAACTACTGGGTCCCTTTGCTGCCTTCCTGGGCTTTCCTACCGGGTGAATGTGCCCTGATGGGCAAAAATGGGGCTTCCAGCAGGCTGGTGGGGGGTGCCGCTCCCTTCCCTGCTCCAGGCTCCTTTTTCTTTTCTCTTGGTGCAGCTCTGGAGCAGTGCGCCAAAGTGGTCAGCGTTTACATCTGCACCTGGAAAGGATGCTCCTTGCCTGCTACGGAGAAGGAGCAGCTCTACGAAAACCTTGCCCAGGTGTTCTGCTCTGTGGCAAGCAACTGGCTGGACTGCCAGGAGGAAGAGGTGAGAAGTGCTGCTTTCCTGTCCCCTGTGCCTGTGCCTCTGTCTGTGCCCAGCGGGCTGGCTGCAAAAGGCCCCAGACTGGCTCTGTGCCTGGGGCTGGGGGCTCCCTGCGGGGAAGCAGCTGAAGCCCAGGGCATTTGGGCAGGCAGGGCGGGGGGTGAGGGGTGGGGAAAACCGCTCTGCCCTCCAGAGCAAGCCCATCTCCTGCAGGGCAGAAGGGCAAGGGGAAGGGCAAGGGCGAGGGCGAGGGCGAGGGCGAGGGCGAGGGCGAGGGCGAGGGCGAGGGCGAGGGCGAGGGCGAGGGAGAGGGAGAGGGAGAGGGAGAGGGAGAGGGAGAGGGAGAGGGAGAGGGAGAGGGAGAGGGAGGGAAAAAGGGCAAGGGGAAGGCCTCTCTGTGGGCAGGGTAGACCTTCAGCCTTTGACGCTGGGCCTCCCTGGTTCCTCTCCAGGACAAGCAAGCTGTCATCGGGGCCATGACTCCCTTGATGCGTGTCCTCCTGCACAAGGAGGAGCACCGGGAGCATGTCTGGGAGCAGCTCCTCTGGCTCCTGCACCAGTACCGGACGGTGCAAGACGCCTCCAGGGTGACCAAGGTGAGGTGTGGCACAGGGCCTGGCACGGCCGTGGGGTCTGTGCAAGTGGCACGAGGGCTCAGGGGCTGTTTGCACGGGGAGCTCTGTGGCTGTGCACAGTTGCTCCATTCGCAAGTGGCTTGACATGGCTTCGGCCCTTTCTTCCTCTCCTGTTCTCTTGCAGAGCCTCCTTTCTTTCCTGGAGGCCCTGGAGCAAGTTCAGATCCCCGTCCCCAAGGGCAAGTGTCTTGCCATTAACAGCGTCGTGTACAGCGAGGTAAGGGGAGCCTGCACCCACACAGCCACAGCAATTCCCTCTTGGCTGAGTCTCGGGAGGACTCCAGAGCCCCGAGTCTTTGAATGCTGCTCGGCCTTGGCTCCTGGGTGGCTCCCGGGTGCTCCAGACCTGTGCGTGGGTCCCTGGGGACGCTGTGGGGTGGGCTGGGTTTTGGCTGGGGGTCCTCTTGCCACGAGTGTCCAGGGAGATGAGAGCTGGTAGCGCTGTTTCTTTTCGGGCCCTCTCAATGCTGCTGGGACTTTCTCCACCATGTTCCCACCTTGTTCCCACAGCTCACTGCCTGACACCAAAGAGCACAGCCAGGACCATAAGGCAGAGCTGAGCCAGTGCATCCTGCTGCAAGGTAAGGAGAGGAGCTGTGGCGATGCCCCATGGTGTCCCGGCAGCTCTCTCCCAAAGCTCAGCAATGGGGGTAAGCTGCTTGCTAATGCAGGATGGGATTTCCTCCCCACAGCTCGCATCTGCCCAGAGGAGACGATCCTGTTCCTGGAGTCCCAGCTGGGCCACGAGAGGGAGGCCGTGCGCGTGGCAGCCCTGGGTCTGCTCGGTGCTCTGGCACGCTGTGACGGTCAGTACTGCGGGGTCAGGGCTTGGAGGGCTCTCTTCCGCCCTCTGGGCTGTGCCTCCACGCATGCCTCACTGGATCTCTTGCAGAGCCCGCGATGGCAGAGAAGCTGCCCCAGGTGGTGGAGGCTGTCAAGCGTGTGTGCAGGGACCCCAGCATGCGGGTGAGCTGCTTTGGGAAGGGACTGTGCCGTCGGGGTCGGGGTCGGGGTCGGGGTCGGGGTCGGGGTCGGGGTCGGGGTCGGGGTCGGGGTGGGAGAGCAACCTTTTCCCTCAGGGCAGAGGCAGAGCCTGGCAAGGCTGGACTAGAAGGGCTCGGACCTAGCCAGCCATTTCCCCGCTCCTTCGTGTTTACCGGAGGGAGGGCTGACAGCCAGAGGTGATGCCACTGCCAGCATGGGCAGGTCCCCGTGGCCCTGTGCTAAGCACGCTTGACCCCTGGCAGGTGAGGAGGGCAGTTCTGCACTTCATCAGGGAGCTGCTCAGTGCCAATGCCCAGAGCTGCTCAGCGTGGGACGTTGTGGGCTACATCTTCAGCGAGTTCAGCCAGAGCTCGAGCAGAAGGGTAAGGCCAGCGTGCAACATCTTCCCTGGGGAGATCTGCTGCCAGGAGGCTGGCATGGGAGCCTGCTGGGGCCACGCCTGAGCCTTCTGGGGCAGGAACTGAGAGCAAGCGGAGCGGGGGGTTCCCAATGTTGTCTTGCAGGCTGCAGGGACTCCTGTCTGCCCAGGAAGCCCAGGAAGAAGGAGCTCTCCAAGGGCTGTGCATGGACGTCCTGGGGTCACTGGACATCTCTGTGAGAGGGATGGCCAAAGTAAGTCCTCCTCTGTCCTGCTGCTGCTCCTCTCCTCTCCTCTCCGTCAGGCCATTTGTTCCTAGCCCCCTTTGCACACCTGAAAGCTCCCCCCCAGCATGCTCAGAAGTGCTCAGGGAGATGCACACCATCCTCCCCATCTCTGAGCTGAGGCAGAAATGCTGACGGGCTGAATTGTCTCATTGCCTACAGCTCCTGTGGCCGAGGCTGCTGATCTATGTGATGCCAGCCAAGTACACGGGCATGCTGATCCCCCTCTCACGCTGTCTCCACGCCCTGGCTGAGAGAAATGAGCTGACAGCAGGGCACGAGCATCATGAACTGGATCCCGATGTCCTCAACGCCCTGTTGCAAGGTAGGAGTAGCAACTCCCCCAATGCTGACCTCTGGGTCTGCGCCCTGCAGGGACGGCAGCGTGGCAGGGCACGGTGTGGCTCGGCATCTCACCCAGCATTTCTTTCTCCCCGCAGACATGACGCTGACTCCGCACAACTTGCTGGCTCGCCTGCTGGTGGTGGCGGGGTCTCCTTTTGCGGGCAGTGAACTCCAAGCTGCTGCCTTGCTGGTGATGCAGAGCCTCCACAGCAGGATCCACGGAGCTGTGGGGGCCACGTGGAACACCAAGATTCCCCTGCTGCTGCAGTACCTCCAAGGTAAAGTGCTGCTGGGGAGGGGGCAGGGGAGGGAGGGCATGGCAAGTCAGCTTCCCAGCATGGCTAAGGGGAATCCCCGCCTGGTGCCCAGTGCTTCTTCTGCTGCCGTTTCGTTTCCCTGCCGGGGAGCCAGCACTGAAGCTGGGGGGAGCGGTCCCACAGCCATCCATTCGTCCCGGCCCTGGTGGCACCTCCATGGCCCTGCTGGGGCGGTGCTTGTGGGGAGGGACGGACGGCTGCCTCTGGAGCGGGTGCAGCCACCAGCTTCCCTGGGCCAGGCCAGCTTTGCAGCAGCTCTTCTGTTGTGGCTTGGTCCCAAGCAAGGTTTTTGTCTTCTTTCTAGGAGGAAAGGGGAACATCCCAGACGCTGCCGAGTGGGAGCGCCGTCTGCTTCAGGTACTGCAGCCCTGGGAGGCGTAGCATATAGATAGAGGTGGCATTCCCCAGCTGGCAGGGGTGTTTCCCGGGCACCCCACTCCTCCTCCTAGAGGAGTCTCTCCCTTCTCCCACAGGCCACAGCTCTCGTGGAAGGCCACTCTGGCGTGGCCGTGTGCCTTGGCACTGCCTCTTCCTGCTTGTCAAAGGCCAAGAAGCATTCGCTTCCTCTCCTGTTCTCTCCTGCAGTTCCTGAGGGCATCCCTGGAAACCATCGGGGACGACGCCTGGATCAAGCGCCTGAGCTGTGCGCTGAGCCAGCGGCTGGACAGCTCTCCCAGCAGCTCTGGGGAGAAGGTCAGTTCCCTGCCCGGCTCTCCCCTGGCAGCGCAGCCACGGGGCCCCCGCCCACGTGCGGGGCTGGGGCTGGGGCTGCAGGCGCTGCTCTGCCCACGAGGGCTGTCTGCGCTGCTTCCCCGGCCCTTGCCCCCCGCGGCCTTTCCCTCCGTGCTGAGCGGGGCTGGCGAAAGCCCATCCCTGCGTCCAGACTCGGCTGCTCCCCGTGTGCTGGCCCCGTTGCAGCACACCAGGCTGTTGCTGCATCTCGGGCTCGGCTTGTTCCCTTGCAGGCTTTCCTGTACAAGGCTCTTGGGACGACGCTGGGAGCTTGTCAGGAACTCCCACACGTCCAAGAGAACCTGCTGCAGCATCTGACGAGAGCACAACCTGAGGAGCCATCTGAGGCCCAGGTGAGCTTCCCTGCTCTGTCCCTGGGCCCTGCTCCAGGCCTTTTCCAGCTCCTCATCGCTGCCCACCACTGTGAACGGCTGGGCCTGTGCCAACTGTCCCTCGCTCTTTTGTTGCAGGGAATCATTGCTCTCGTCTGCCAAGCCGCCGACAGCCACTTCCGCCTGGCCTTGGAGACACTGACAACATTTGCTGCCACCTCGAGCAGTGTCCGGGGCCTTAGGGTTTCCAGAGGCAGGAAGGTGAGGCGTTTGGGGTTTCCCTCCCTGGCTGTCTTCCACCTGCTCTTCATCGTGGGCTGTGGGGGGCCATGGGGCGGACGTCTCACAGCATCTCTTGCAACGCAGACGACCCAGGCCAGCAGGAGAGCTGAGGCCACTTGCAGGGCTGTCATGCTCGCCCACAGCAGCATGGCACTGCGTGCCTCCAAGGAACAACTGCTCGCCCACGTGGAGGCAGACATCGCGGGCAACATCCTGCTGCTCTCCATCTCCAGCAGCCAGGTGAGAGCTCGGGGCGTGCAGGGGCAGGGCTGCTGGGTGCAATCCCAGCTCCAAGCCCTCTGTGCCAGGGCATCCTGAGCCTGGCCGTCTCTTTCCAAAGGTCCCCCGAGGAATGGTTTGTCCCAGCAGGAAGATCCATTCCCCTAGATTTCCCCCACGTGCACATGTTCCTCTCGCAGCCCGTGGCCCTTCCTCCAGTTCCAAGGGTTTTCTTCTTCTCTCTTGGGCCCCAGAACTTGCAGACCAATCTGGCTCTGGTGCAGAGCATCCTTGAGGTCGGCTGTGCCATCCACGCTGTGGGGAACTTGGGCAGCTTCCATCCTGTCCTGAAGCACAAGCTGCTGCTGATCCTGCAGGTGAGTGCCCAGAGCCAGGGCTGTCTTGCAGGGGAGTTTGGGGCCATGCCAGGAGGCAGGAAGGTCTCCCTCAGCCGCGTGGGAGCTCCTGGAGCCGTGTCCCCAGCTGGTGGGGGGGGCCCTTGGGTGCTGTCAGGCAGTGGCCATGGCTGGGCAGCCGCTGGGGAGCTGCTCCATCCTGCAGCGCCCCTGTGGGAGCTGCGGGAGCGCTGCAGCCAGTGTCTGGCAGGAGTGCCCATCCCCGGGCAGGGTGCGAGAGCTCTCCTGTGCCCAAGGCCCACTTGGCAACTTTCTCTTGCAGAACTTGATGAAGACGACGCTCTGGGACTTCCCGGCAGCGTCCCTGCACCTGAAGGTGATTCTGGCCCTGGAGCAGTGGAGGTAAGAGCGAGGAGCTGCGGGGGCTGTGAGGCGGGATGACGTTCCTCCTGTCGGGGAGCTCCCAAAGAGCAGCACTCCCTGCCACAGCCTAGGCTGGTTGCATTCGGGGCTGTCGATGAGGACAAGCCCAGATGCCATGTGACCCTCTCTGGAGAGCGCTAGGAACTCCTCTTTTTTATTGTTTTCCCTCGTCTTCCTTTTTCCCCTTGCCAGCAAGCTGGAGATCTCGTTCAGCAGCAAGGAAATTTGTAGCCTGCTGTCTGACTGCTGCCGGGCCATCCTGCCACTTCCTTCAGCGGCTGAGCAGACTGGGGAGATCAGGAACGCAGAGCAGGCAGTGCTGCAGCTCCAGGTAACTTGCTGTCCCTTCCCTGCCCACCTCTCGGTCAGGACCCCTCCCCAGCACAAGCTGTGTGCTGGCAGCAGCCGTGATCCTGCATCTGCGTCCCTCTCGTCCGCTTTCAGTCTCTGCACATGGCCACGAAGGCTCTGGGCCGGCTCATGGCAGTCCTGCTCAAGGCAAAGCCAAGCCCTGTCGACTTGGTAGACATCGCCGAGGTGAGTATCCATGGGGTGCTGGGGCAAGCGTCCCTCCTGTCACCAGTGGGGACCCTGTGAGTTCTGGGGCCTCTGGGGAATTAGCAGAGGAGCAGGAACCTCCTGCTGCCATGCCAGGTGACTGTGAGCTCAGGGAGGCCAAGAAGTGGGCCCTGCAGGGGGGAAAGCCAAGAGGCAGCCCCTGGCTGGCTGCAGCAGGGAACTGGCTGCAGGGAAAAGCTCCTGGGTGGGAGCAGGTGCGTCTGAAGAGAGTGGGGCAGTGCCGCAGGGCAGGCCCTCAGGGAAAGTGCCAGGAAGGGAGGGAAACGGAGAGGGATGGCGGGAAGGGAAAGATGCCCCTTGGCAGACAGAGCTGCTCTGCCCCAGGTCCTGTGGTTCTGGCTCTCCTCGGACGATCCGTGGGTGTGCAAGAAAGCCCTGCAGGTCTGCGCCCAGCTGCTGGAGGACTGCAGAGATGGAGTGGCTTTTCAGGTGAGGAAGGATGCCCAGCGTGTGCCCCCAGCTGCAAGGGGGCCTGGCAGGGCAGCTCTGCCCAGCTGTGCACGGGCTGTGGGGTCCCCCAGCGCAGCGCTCTGGGGTGGCCCCTGTGCCCAGTCCTGGCCCGAGCAGGGCACGGCTGGGAGACGCAAGGGAGTGCTGGGGCCACCTCCAGCCCTTGTTCTTCCTCTCGCCCCTGCAGACAAGAGGTGCCTACCTGCCGTTTGGCGCCTTGGCGGGATTGCTGGGGCCTCTGACCTGTGAGCCCACGAGCAGCTCCCGCCAGCTGGCCGCTGCCTGCCTCAGCTCCCTTCTCCACATCCAAGGTGAGTGTGAGTAGAGCAGGCGCCTGCCGGCCCTCTGCCCCACCTGGCCCTAGCGGGATCCCCCGCGGGGGCTGGGCCCTGCCGCCAGGAGGGAAAGGAGAGGCACGGTGCTCGGCTGCTGTCCTGTCCCCAGCCTGTTCGTCCTCCACCTCCCCAGCCACCTGGGGAGGGATCCTGGCAGAGGGCCACCCAGTGCCACCTGCCAGCAGCGTTTCCTGCAGTCGGGGGCGCTCAGGGCCACCCCTGTTGCTGACAGCAGGACACAGACCCCTGAAACAAGCTTTTCCAGGGAAAAGAGGGGTCTTTTCTGTGCAGCCCAGGCTTGCTCAGCGGCAGAATCTGGCAAGGGCCATCCCGCTGCAGCGAGTTCAAGACTGACTCCCCTGGGCCCAGAGGCCCAGGTTCAAGACTGACTCCCCTGGCCTCTGGGCCCCCTTCAGCAAAGGCTGGGAAGGGAAGTTCAGTTGCCCGAAGTGTGACTCCCCTTTTCTCCCTGTGCTCGTTCCAGCTAAGGCCACGAACAGGGTGTTGGAGACAGACGACCCTGAGAGCTTGTGTGAGGGGCTGAGTGCTCGCAGCGATGCATCTCAGCAGCTCCAGACCTCCATCAAAATCGCAGAGGTAAGGAGTGACCTCAAGCTTGCCTTATGTTCTGAAGAGCTGGAGCGGAGCCGTGACGGGATCTCTCCTGGTTCTTGCATCTTTCCAGATCGTTTGCAAAAACTTCCCCAAAGAACAGGCCGCACACTTCATGAATGCCATCCTGGGGCCCTTCCGGCATGCCAGAGGAAGCCGCGTGCGTGCTGCAGGCAACTGGATGCTCACCTTTCTGGAAACGTGTGGCAAGGACATTGGTCCAGACGTAAGAGACATTTTGCCATGCCTTGGACTTTCTCGCTTTGGCTGTCGCACCGCACATCTTGCCGTTTGTGTGCTAAAGAAGCTCTCGGTGCAGAGTCAGGGCTCGGGCAGGGTGCTAGGGGTGAAATTTCGCCTTAGAGCGTGAAAGCGTGGCAAGGGACCAGGCGTGGCTCATGGGCTGAACGTCCATGTTCCCATAGAAGCGAGGACGTGCCAAGACGTTCTTTCTCCCCTGCTTCTTTCAGGTGCAAGGAATCGTCTCCGCCCTGCACACCTGCACAGAGTCCATGCTGGAGCCCTCGTTCGTGTACTTCGTGCACCATGCGGTGCTGATCCTGGCCCGCTATCACCGGGAGCTCACGCTGAACATCATCCTTGAGAAGTTTGTGCCTATGGACAGGTACATGCGCTACTTCCTTTCCTGCTGGGCTCAGAGAGCCGTAGCTTGCCTCCCCTCCCCTAGGGCGATCCAAGGGAAGCAGCGTCTCCTTCTCCTCCACCCAAATGACGGAGGTGTGCTGGTACCGCTGGGAGGAAGCAGGCATCTTCAGCCCGGCTGCTGAAGAAGCGCGAGGTGAAGGCATCCCAGGTCCCAGAGCATACGGGCTCATGGTTGCACATCTCTTGGCAGAAACACACTGGAGCTGTGGAGGACTCTGGGGAGAGCCAGCATTGGCCTCGGTGTGCTGAAGCGCTTAGCGAGGAAGCTGAACAGAGTGGGAGACGACAGCTCCCAGCCCAGCTCGCCCACTCGCAGGCTGCACGCCCACCAGCCTTCTCCGGAGTCCTTGACTGTACGTTCGGTGGCAGAGGCTTTGTGCCTGCTCCCCCACTCCCAGTCCGAGGGCAAGGCGTTGGGTGCCCTTTGCAAGCATCTCGACACTGCTGCAGTGTCTCAGCGGTAGCAGTTCGGGACGGCCAGGACAGCCGCTGCTCCCAGGCTGCAAGGCTGTCCCGGAGACGGGGCGTGCAGGCAGTAGAAGTGCCCCAGGCAGCCAGCGGGCCGGGGCTGGTGGCAAAGCTCTTGTTTAACGGGTGCTTGTCGGGTGCTCTCATTTCCCTGCAGGTCACCCGTGCCATCTCCGAAATGGTGTCCGTGCAGTCCAAGAAGGGGGTCCAGTGCTTGCTTCCCTCCCTCCTCCCTGGGCTCCTGCTGCAGCTCAGCAAGGCACTGGGGGAAGAGATGCTGTTTGCGCCCCTCAGCCCCTGGAGAGGGCACACTGAGGATCAGCGGCAAGAGGGCAACGTGTGCAGGTCAGGAGCAGGAGGGGCAGGGCAAGGGGGGCTTGAATTGCCTAGCCAAGCATGCTTGGTTGTTTCCTGTCCTGTTTCCTAGGCGGGAGGCCACTTGAGGCTGCAGATTTGCTTTTTTCCTCCCATCCCTGTTTGTTTGGGGCTTTCTTTTCTCTGTTTTTCTCTCGGGCAGGCTGTCATTCTTGCACGATGGCTTGTGCAAAGTTGGTTTTCACTGCGGTAGAGATGTCTGTGTGCTGAGGGTCTTCCTGGGCGGTGACTCCCAGGGAGCACAAGCACAGCTGCCACATCCTCGCAGGGTTTGTGGCCCAGCTCTGGCCGCGGGCAGCTGTGCTTTCCTGCCGTGGAGGCTCTGCCGGTGTAATTCCCGGCCTGTCAGGGTGCACCAAGCATTGCACTCAGGCGGTGCTGCCTCCCTGGGGAGGTTCGAGTGCTCAGATCAGTCCCCCCACAACACAACACAACAGGGCAGCTTGCCAGGGCTTAAATAGACAGTTGCTTTTTTGGCCGGCTTTTGCCACAGACTTGGTGACTACAGAACCTTGCCTCTGCACTTCTTTGCCTCTCTCTCCCTCGCTGGAGCTTGGGATGAGTGAAGAAGCGGCTCGTAAAGCTGCTGAGCATTCTTGCTCTGCTAAGTCCCTGTAAGTTCTGTAAGTTCCTTGCGGAACACTGCTCTGATCTTAGACTTCTCTGGCTCTTGCTCTTTCCCCAGGCCTTTTTGCGAAACTCTCATGTCAGTGCTGAGCAAATGCGCTGAGAAGAGCTGGCTGACGCCGTTCTGGAGGCAGAAGATGTCGGCGCTGCTGGAGAGCCCCCGCACTTATGCCGAGGGCATGTGCCTCCTGACGAGGTGAGAGCCCCAGGGCAGCATCTCGCCTTCCTCTCGGTGGCTGCGCCCAGGGGAACGGCTGCCGGGGCCCGTTCCTGCGTGCTCGGGGAGCTCTGTGCAGGGCAGAGCAGCGCCTGTGCTGGAGGAGGGCAAGTCCACGGTGGCAGCCTGCAGCCTTCCCACTTGACCGGGCGTTGCCCCTTGTGCTCTTTGTGCAGTGTCCTGCTCCGTGCCCAGCTCATCTCCCGGGAGCTGATTGAGATCTTCTCCCAGTGGCTGCGCTACCCATCAGCAAACCTGCAGCTGACGGCCATGGCTTTCTTTGCTGAGGTGAGGCAGTAGGAGGGCAGGGGGGCTCCCCAGGGCTTTTCTGAAAGACATTGCTGCTTGGGCTGCCTCTTGCTGTGGGGAGAGATGAGAAGCAAGCGTCCCCATCGAGACTCCTTTGTGCGAAGCCTGCTTGTGTGCTGTGCCTGGGCTGAGGTTGTGTCCTGACTCTCGTGGCTGTGTTGCTCTGTTGCAGCTGATGAAGGAGCCGCCTCTTGAGAAGAGGAACGTCCTGAAGACTCTGCGTGTCTTGGCTGAGAAAGCACAGCACCGAAGCAGCACCATAAGGCAGCTGGCAGCGAGAGCTCTGGGCAACGCAGCCGGCAGCATGCCCGTGGAGGTGAGACGGATTTTCCTGCGCTCTGGCTGCAGGGATATTCCCCTCCCTAGCAAGACCCCGGGGGAGAGCTACTTCAAGGGCCTGGACAGAGCGGCAAAGGCAAAAGCAGGGCTCCTATCCCTGATGCCGCGCTCCTTTCCCTGATGCCAGCAGGGCTGCCGAGGGCAAATTGGGTGCCAAATGTCAGAGGAACAGTGCTTTGGAGCAGAGCTGTCAGCCACGGAAAGAAAGAGCAGCCCTTGGAGGCAGGGAGAGCCCTAAGTCTGTGCACGTCTTTGGCTTTGCAGGTGCGGAAGCACGGGAGACAAGTTGTCCAGGTGCTGCAACAGAGCCTGGCGGACACTGCCTGTCCCGAGGTGGTTGCAGAAAGCATGCTGGCGCTAGCTGAGCTCATGAGGGTGCTGCAGGCGGTGAACTTGGGATCGGCCTTTGAAGACATCGCCAGGGCCACCAAGATGTTCTTCGAGTCTGTGAGTGAAGCCAGCTCTTGCTGCCACTGCTCTGAGAAGCGTGGGGTGGGCAGGGGCCTGCACGCGCCGCCTGGATGGCCTCTGCTGGCTGAGTGCCTGCTTCGGCCTCGTTACCCAGCTGACAAACGGCTTTCTGCTTGCAGAAAGAAGAGTACCTTCGCTACTCGGCCTTGCGCCTCTATTCAGTCCTGGCCTCCTCAGCCTCCAGCAAGCGGTCGTTCTTTGCCGGAGAAGTGGCGGAGACATGGGTCAGCCTTTTCCTGCACCTCCGGGATCCCGACTTTGCAGTTGCCAGCGTAAGTGCCCTTGGAGCTTGCTCCCAAAGCCCCCGAAAGCTGCGTGGCCACGGCCGAGGCGTGGCTGGCTGAGCTCCCTGGGCAGGTCCCAGACATGCTGCTGGAGGAGGAATGACAGCACAACTCTCTTTTTCAGATGTGCAAGATCACCTTCAGTCTCTGTGCTCCATTTATGGGGCTGAGGCGGCCACAGGAGATCATCTCTCTCTGCGAGAGGCTGGGTGCACAAGAGCTGCAGGATGCGCTCTGCACTTACCTGGTAAGGAAGCTGTGCTCCAGCGAGACGTCAGGGCCCTGCGGCCCTGCCCTGGCTCCCTCCGGGGAGTGTGCGGTGCTGCGTGTGGGGCTGGCCGGGACTGGGACATGGCCATCCCTCCTGGCCACCCACTGCCTCTCCCCTTCCCCCTGCGGCCCACCCAGCCAGCTGGCTAGGGGGCAACAGAAGGCATCTTTCTGGACCCCGTGAACTTGTGCCTTCCTGTCTTGCCCTAGGCCAGAAACGCCCCCCCCATGTTGGAGAGGCTCCATACCGTAGCCAGGAGAGGCTTCCTAGAGAACGGGCAGAGGCTGCACCCATCGACCTTCGAAATCCTTGGTGAGAGCCCGCACTGGAACTTCCCACTCCCTTTCCTGACCAGAGAGCTGTAGGGACCTCTGCTTTCTCTTTCCTCTTGCCTCCGGGCCCTGCCTTTGCAGAACAGGGCAGACACCGTGCTGTGTCCCATGGCTGAAGATGGGGTAGACAGGGACGCAGGGCTTTTCCTTGCAACATGCCTCCGAGTTCCTGAAAAAGCTTGAGCAACCATCAGGAGTGATCTGGAGAGCCCTGCACAGTGGCTCCCCAAGCATGTGTCCCAGCTGTAGGGCAGGGCTGGAAGCCAGGGCTGTGGAGCGGTGCTCTGATGGTTGCCTCTCTGCTCTGTACTTTAGCTGCCATCCTGGCAAGGAGAAGAAGGAAATGAGGCTCCGTCAGAGAGCAGGTTGGTTCACATGGGGCTGAGCTCCGGATCCGTGGGGCTGGGCAGAGGTCAGAGCCCAGAAGCAGCCCGGCAAATGCCCAGCAACAGGCGCCGGCCAGCCAGGGGGGAGCGGCTCCAGGGTGGCAGGGGGCACAGCTGCCTGGGCTGGCTGCTCACAGCTCTGTCTGTCTTGTTGCAGCTTTCCAGGGCCCGAGCAGCACTGAGGACACCCGAGCGTGGAGATGGCAGACAAGGCCCTCTGTGACTGTGGGCAATAAAACTCTGTACATGTACGTGGTCTCAGCGCTCAATGTGTCCTTGGGGAAATCCAACTCCACGTGGCCTCCCCTCTGCGGACAAAGGGTCTTTTTCATAGGGCCAGGGGGGCACGTTGGGGCCTGTGGGGAAAAGCCTGGCAGGATGCACAAATGGGTTCTGAAGGAGCTGGTGGACCTAACCGTGAGGCCTCCCAGGATTATCCATCAAATGTCACCGTGATCAGGAGAGGCTGCTGAGAAACTGCTTGCCACTCCTGTTCCCAACGTGTCCATTTCGTGAGAAGCACAGAGAACGTATACTACTCTAACCTGGATCTTAACTTTTTCCCCCAGGTTTCACTAAAGAGCCCTTTGCACCCTTTGCACATTCCAGGAACTCATCTTGGGCATCTTTGGAAAACTGCTCTCCAAAGCAGTTCTCAACATGCGCTTCTGTGATGGTTTTACTCGGGTGGGCAGCTGAACTCCACCACAACCGCTCTCTCACTCCCCCTCCTCAAAGAGGAACAGGGAGAAAAGAGGATGCAAAGGGCTTGAGGGTTGAGATAAGGACGGGGAGATTGCTCAACAGTTCTCGTGACAAGCAAAACACAGTAGGGAGACAGTCACATTTATTGCCTATTCCTAACAAGCTAGAGAAGCGAGAAACAAAGGAAAGAAACCCAAAAGGCCATCCACCCTCTTCCACCTCCTCCCCCCAAGCGGCGCAGGGGAATGGGGGCTGTGGTCAGTCTATGGCACTTCACTGCTCCTTCTTGGTCACTCTTGTCCTCTGTGCTGTGGAGTCGCTCCCATGGAATGCCACCCTTCCCAAACTGATCCTGCGGGGGCTTCCCACAGGCAGCAGCTCTTCCAGAACTGCTCCAGGTATGGGTCTGTACCACAGGGTCCATCCCTCAGGAGCAAACTGCTCTAACCTGGGTCCCCCACGGGCAGCAGCTCCTGCCAGACCCCTTGCTCCTTCCTGCGTGGGCTCCTCTCCACGGGCTACAGCTCCAGCCCGGGATCTGCTCCGGCAGGGGTCTTACACAGGCCACAGCATCTGTCGGTGCAGGGCCACCTGCTCCACTGGGGAATCCTCCACGGGCTGCAGCGTGGAACCCTGCTCCACCGTGGGACTCCACGGGCTGCAGGGGGGCAGCCTGCTTCACCATGGTCCTCACCACAAACTGCATCTGGGACATATGCACGTTTCTCAACACTGTTTTTCATCAAACAGCATCAAGCAGACCCTGAGGTTAGTCAAACGCATGAGGGGCAGGCGCTGAGCTCTGCTCTCTGGGGACAGCGACAGGACCTGAGGGAACAGCACGGAGCTGAGCACTGCAACAAGCTGCCCAGGGAGCTTGTAGAGTCTCTTCTTTTGGAGATATTCCAAAGCTGCCTGGATGCGATCCGATCCTCTGTGACATGCTCTAGGTGACCCAGCTTGAGCAGGGGGATTGGACTAGAGGATCTCTGGAGGTCCCTTCCAGATTCTGGGATTCTGGGACAGGGGTGGGTCAGGCTGGATGTGAGGAAAAGGTGCTGCACCGAGAGGGTGGTCGGGCTCTGGAAAAGGCTCCCCAGGGCAGTGCTCATAGCACCAAGCCTGCCGAAGTTCAAGAAGCGTTTGGACAACACTCTTGGACACAGGCTCTGATTTTTTGGGCGGTCCTTTTGTTATATATGGAGTGGTAATTCGTGTCGAGAAAAGGGTTGATATTAATAAAGGAGGGGGGGATTTGGGAATGTGGCCATGGGGGTCAGCAAGCCCCGTGGTTGATGATAACATCAGACTCTTCACGATGAGGCCATCAGGAATGTAAAAGAGCTTAGAGGGAACAAAGAAGGGTGATTCAGGAGATGCCATGCAGTCTTGGGTTGCTTCTTCTCCAGCCATTAAGGCATGGAAGTTTCTGGGTGTTTGCTGTTGCTGTTATATGCAAAGTTGTTTGACCAATGAAAAGTTGTTTTTGAAAAGGACTGCTGTGGGGAGAAGGGGAGAAGAGGGGAGCCTGCCCTCAAGATAAAGAAGGCAACACGATGAAGTTATGTCATCAATAAAGAAGCAGAAAGAAGGAATGAAAAGGAACAGGCCAGCAGAACGGAGACCAGGACAAGAACAGGCACATTGATCGCCCCATGAAGAGAGGTTTAGCCAAAGCCAGCAAACCGCTCAGAGCAGCTCGCACAGAAAGTCGCTGGAAATGGGAGCACTGGAGCTCGGAAGAAGCTCAAGCTGAGAGAAGCGGCCCCGCACACAGCTGCCCCTCGCTGGTAAGCAGCTGCACATTGTGGGGAATCATACATGTACGTCCTTAGGAACAAAGACTGTCCTGGTCACCTTGCAACTTATTCTCCTTATTGACAATCAGACAGTTTATGAGCCTGAAATATGGGACCAAACTGAGGTCAAGATGGGGGACTCTGCAACTAAAAACGACAAGGTTGCGGTGGGATTGCTCAGCACCTGGCGAGCAAACTCTGAGGCCTTAAAGAGCCCTGTAGGACCACAGTCAGAAACGTGTGGTTTGCCAGACAGTGAGGGAGCTGCGGGCTCCTTTACTGATCCTTCTGCTACGCCATGGGCCCCTCTGCTGCTACAGCCATCGAAGGCTTTTGCTGTTCCACCCCCTGGTGACCTGGACGTGCCTTTTGACCCAGGCCTATTGGCCTTGAAAAGGAGATGGATATGCTTTTCTTCGATCTGGGAAGAATACGGGATACATAAGGCCTGAAGACCGAGTTGCTTGACAACTTAAAGCGAGACATATTGTTCAAAAGGAATGGAAAATGGAGACTTGTATGTAATCAAGGAAAGGAATGGAAAATGGAGACATGTTAAGTCATGGGACTTCAAGGATTCTTTGTTACCTTTTCTGCTCGTGATTATGTATAGGCGTACTCGATTTTAGTAAGTTATGGAACTTAGAGGATTGTTTGTTACCTTTCCTGATTGTGCGTATGTGTAGGCATACTCGGGTTTAGTATGTAAAGCAACGTGCTGTATATTTAGAAAATTGATGTTTGTGTGTGCGTGTTGGTGGAGCGTAGACTCCCCGCAATATGGATTTAGCATATTGAGTTTTGCTGAGCGAAGTTCTTACCTTTTGTCTGTCATAGATGACAACACTCATTTGAAGTACATGATCAGTAGACTTCAATAATGATACTAAATGTGATTATTTTGTTCATATAATTCCCATTCTTTTGATCCTGATTTTTCTTTGCACTCTGTTGTGGTAAACTTTCTCATTAATTTCATGGGTGTAGCTCTTGAAGAGCAGTTGTTCATGTAGTTAGATTTTGATTGTTTTCTCAGTGAAATTAAATATTCAAACTAATTAAAGAAATTAATATGTAATCTTTCGTCTAGCAGAACGAAAAGGGAATTCACCATCTTAACCGTAAACCAAAGAGTACTCATTCTAGAGGAACAGAAATGATTCTGGGAAGAACTTCTGCTTTTAACAAAGGCTAGAAAAGTCATTTTGTACTCTCAAACTGCATAACAATCACTGCTTTACAAGCACTGTGGTCCCTATGCCATCCCATTTAATAACAGTTCACTGCAAATTTCATTGTCAAAAACCCCAGACTTCTTACCTTCTCCCTACATCTTTGGGGCACGTGAACTCCCATACTCCACAGTCCTTGGTTATACTGAACTCTTGCTTGCTCTTCATCAAATGCAATTTATCCTTACTAAGTGAATAAACAAATAACTCTTTATTACCTCTTTAAACAAAGCTTTAAGCTTGCATTAACAATAACAACCAAAGCACTTGCACAGACATTTATGACTGCTAGCTGCACCGTGGCAGTCTGACTCAGACTGTCCTTTTTGTGGGTTTATCAATAGATGGCAGCAAGAAGCTCCTTCTTTCCTGAGTGTCAGGAACGAAAGATGCATCCCGGTAAGAAGGTAGGACCAGCTTTCCAAGAGAGTTCATATACTAGATGATAACAGCCTGGTATTATAGCTTGTTCAGCGATGATTCTGTATATGCTATAGCAACATGGAGTTAACGTTTTAGTAAAGTGTCCTGCTACATTTGCAGAACACATCAACAACAGGAATTAAAATATGCATTCCATTCCACATTCCAGTTTACTTGTATCTTAACTGGTATGGGTTACAATCCTGAAATAAAGTGTAACAATCACTAAGAATAGTAGCCAAGCCAGGTCAGGATATCATCTCCACTGAAACAAAGGCTTTGGGGGTTGCAACTTACAGGCCGTAAGGTTTTTATTGCAGCCCACTACACCATTTGACCAGCTTGTGTATTTAGACATGAGGCACAATTTACATTACACATACCAAAATCTGGATCTGGATGCATGTTAAAAATAGCACTTCTTTTCCTAGTGAGAATGTGTCTTTCAGAAATCTCAAAACTACTTCATCCTCCTTCTTGAGTTCTATTTGACTTTTTTTTTCTTTTATTTAAGCAGAACATTAACAAGTTGTCAGACAAAGGACATTTCAACTCAATTTTCTGAGCCAATAGCAAATAAAAGAGGAAACTATACCTTCTTTGAAACATTCAGACAAAACCCCTAAATACCCTGAATTTCATTTTTCAATGTTAGTATTAAAATGATTCAGATCATCACTTGCAAGACTTTGTTTTCTGCATCATGCTACATGCTTTGAAAAAGTAATTAAAAAATAAAAACTAATACTTGGTATTCTCTTCAGTAGCAGATCTCTTCTGTTTAAGGCTCACCAATTTATGGAGCAATTAATTCCTTACACAGCTATTGACTAAGAGATCAAATGCAAAACACTCTACAGAATCACTTGTGGATGCTTAAAATCAGCCTTAATGTCAACAACAACAGGGGCAGTGCCATGAACCTGAGAACATTTGTGTACCCATCAAAGTTCTTTCCATCTTCTGCACGGCTAAGCAGAAAGGGCAAGGGGCCCCAGTGGCAGTTAAAATTATATTAAACTCTGGCTTCTTGAACAAAAC